TAAATTGAAAATTGAATGTTGGCCTTCTATAGTGGGAAATATGATTTCCACAATTGTAGTTATTAAAAAAAAATCAATTGGAGTGTCTATAAAGTAAAATTTTCATCCAAATGACTTTTAATTGAGGAGTTGTTCTGGAAGAGACGAAACATATTTATTTTGATGAGTTCAAGATAAGTGTAAACTAGTCAATTTAATCGTACAAATTATTATTACTACTACTATTAATGTATATTAATAGTTTATGTATTGAACTTTGCAAAAAAAATATTTTAGTGGGAGCTTGATAAAAAGTCATAAGTGATCAAATGTTTAAACAGGGCAATTAGGGTCTCATATACCGAGACATTACATCATTAGCATTGTAATACCAAGACAATACCTCAATGTATGTCGGAAGAGACATGAAAAATCCTACATAAATTGTTGGAATTCTCTAGAGTTTAAATGAGCAAGTCAAGAAAAATCGTCGTTGTGGTGATATGGAGGCAAAACCATTAGGCTCTCATACGAGAGGTTCCATTTCCACAATAGAATGGAAGGAATAACTGCCATGTTTCTCGCTATATATACTCTTCATACACTATCAATACATTTAATTCACTTATGTAAATGAATTTATTTCAGTAACATCGTACTAGGGAGATAATAGCTGCATTCCCTCTTTATAAGTTTACTTATATGCGTAAAGATAAGAAAGATGATGGTTGATTAAATGAAAATCATAGGGAATTTGTGATATGTTATTCTTAAAATTCAAATAAAAAGTTTTTCATTAATCAATGTAACTTATTTTTATTTAATATAATAAATTATCATTTTATCTAGAGCGAGTATTTACAGACACTAACAACAATCTAGGAGGCTGCAAGTGTGGATGAGTCATATTCGGCATTAACTGGCCCCTATAAGATATTTTTGTAGTTGGCTAGTGGATTAAGCTCAATGGGTCAAGTGTTTGGTATTGGGTTCGCCGCTCCCATATTAACACTTCATAAACTTGTTCTCTAAAAAAGTGGATACCGTGAAATCCAGAGCAATAAGAAGAGATCGATACATTAAAGGAGTGATTAAGGTAAGTCTAAGAATGCCAAGATATGCTAATAGCTTTAGTAACGTCACAACAAAAACAACATCAACCACAACAATAATTGCAACAACAACGATACTCTCATATGCTTTTTCGAAGCAAATGATAATGGACAACCATGATTTAAAATGCTCTTTCAATTAAATATTATATCATTATAATTATTATCAATTCCAAGTTCATTTTCAACTAACGATTTCTTTTTAGGTTTCTAACCTCCGATGCATCATCTTGCACTTTATCCAGGGTTCAGAGGCATACAACCTCCTACGCGTCCAACTGTCACAGGCTCATCTAGTGCATCGATGTCTTTGCACCCACAACTGACATATCCATCGAGAGGTAGCACACTTTTGGCATCTTTTGTCCAGCCACCCAACAATCAAGAAGAAGCTTATTATCCGATTCCTCTATCACCACAATGACACAATAGGCAAAATGCATCTAGAATATTGGATGATATTTTTTTAGGTTTCTGATGTTTACTTCAAGTTTTTTAATATTATCTAATGTTTGTTGAATTGTAATGCTTCAAACTTTTATTTTCTTGTTGAGAAGATAACAAGGTTAGTGCGTTTCTCCTCCCTTAAGATTTAGAGAGATTTTTAGAGACAACTACTTTATTTACTTCAAAAAAAAGAAAATTAAAATCACACTTTAAACATTTAATGTAAGAAAGAAAATTAATCTAGATATTAGTTTTTAAATTACATTTTATTAATATTGATTTTATCAAAATTTCACTTATTTTTTAAGAAAATTATATATTTTGAATGCTGACATGTATACACACATAGAAAGAAATTTACTTGAACCATTGTGAGATTTAAAGGAGGGTATGAACAATTTCATGAGACGATAGAAAAAAAACTAAAAAATTTTCTCGTTTTAAACTAGGGTTGTTCTGTATTTAAAAAAAAATAAATCGTCTCTATTTCGCTGGAAAAAGGTCAATACTTGAGACTTATAAGGGTTATCACATAGAGATTTGGTGTAGAGTTCTTAGTTGTCCGAGAAATTAGACCATCATTACTTGCTGATCTTTTCAGTAACAAGTTGGCAACCCCTTCCACCCATCTTGTGTGCTGTTGTGCTTGTGCCATGTTTTGCTGGCCTTCACATTACCGGCATGGTACATGATATAACATATGCCCCATTAACAAATTTCATAACATAGTATGGTTACATTCCTGACAACTGATTGCAGACCAAAGACCACAACTCGTAGTAACAAGAATAATATGAGGGATGGTTATTAGGTTTGAGATTTTCCCAGCATAAATTCATCTTGGACTGGTAGTACACCTTGAAACAGATGGATTCGATCCCACTTGATTAGTTTTTTTTATGAAATCAAATTAGTCGCAACAAGTCGGGATAGGACCGAGATTGGGATTGAGATAAACTTTCACTATATCAAGCAGAAGAACACTCATCCCATTGTTATTTTTATGTGCCACGAGGTCATTATTCTATTACCAAAAGACATATTTAAGAACATCCCTTTGAAGTACGATACGCCGAAAATTTTGTTTACATATATTGTTATGCTATTTGAATTTAAGGACATAATTATTATATCAGTTCAAGAGGGATAACCTATACCTAGGAAATAAAATTCAATTTTAAAAAATTGAGTAAATATTTATCCCCTTTGTATTTTTTAATAATAAAAAAGTTGAGAGCAATAGCTCCATAACTTAATGTATAATATTTTATTAATTGTCATCAAACTTTTTTAACGGCATACGATTTGATTGACATAATTTATATAATGAAATGGTTAGATTGATAAAATTAAAAAGAATATTGGTCAGATTGAGATTTTCTAATAGTTAAGTGATCATGATTGTCGTTTACCCTTAGGGGCCATTTGCCATTTAGATCAATGAAAAGATCATTACCAAGGAGAATAATCTTTTTTGGAATCACATACCCACATTTGGTTCAAAAGCATTCCCACTAGGAGATAATGAAACATTACCAAGAGTGCTTTTTTACCTTGAATTTTTGGGAATCTCATTCCTCACTTTGGACAATATACCCCGAATAATATAGTTATTTCAAAATGATCATTCCTTTTGTATATAATTATACGAGTATAAATTTATTTTATTTATTTTGAATGAATTATGAATTTTTTAATACTTATTATAAAATAATATGATATATAAAATAAAAATAAATCAAATTTTTTATTTTATTTTGATTATTTTTATGTATGTATTCGATTCAAAATTTATTTTTTTTGTATATATTTGATTACATGTATTATTTAGGATTAATTTTCGTAAAAGGTTTTCACATTTTTATATTATTTTTTTCATATAATTTGATATAATATTTTGTTTTCCAACTCATACATGTAGCATAAATAAAAAAGCGTAACAATTAACACATATTTAAATATGTGTAAATATTTACATCTCTCAACCTAAAAATAAACACATACTTACACCGTGTAAATATGTTTAATATTTTTAAAGAAATAAAAACTAAATAAAATAAAAATATATTAAACTATTTGTGTACAAATTTTATTAAAATTATATAAATTAAAAATAATAAAAATATGCTTTCTATGAACTTTCATTTGTTAATATATATATATATATATATATATATATATATTAAAGACAATTTTGCAAAACATACATTTTTCTTATCTTATATTTCTCTATCTAAACATTATAATATGATATTCCTGTCAAATAAACCAAACAAGATAATGCAATATTTCCAGTAATGTGTTGCGTAATGTAACATATAAAATATTATTGCTAATGATAAACTTATATTTTGTGAATCAAACAATCCATTATGATTTTACATTATAGTCACTTTCTTTCTAGGGATGAGCATGAGTCGGGTCGGGTTAAAATTTCAATCCACTTGATCAGACCCGAAAATTTTAAATCCTTCACCCAACCTAAAAATATACCCCTTCAACCTGATTCGAACCTGACACAAATTTTTGAGATAAAATCTGAACTCCACCCGACCCGACCTAAAATAATATATTTATTTAAAAAATTATTTAATAAAAATAGAGATTTAATTGGAAGAAAATAATATATAGAGGGGTATTATTGTAATTATCTCTAAATATATAAGGTAAAATTATAATTTTTCGGGTCGAGTCGGATCAGGTCAGGTCAGGTATTTTTCACCCTAAACTCAAACCCGACCCGATCCAAACATAACTTAAAAAAATCTGATTTGACCTGACCGAAACCCAATTTTTTTAAAAAAAAATCCTACCCGATAGGTGTGTTCATTCGGTTAAAACGATGGCTGACCGAACCGAATTACCATTAACCAAAGTTTTTTTCTTTAACCGTTAATCGAACCGAACTTTTTTTGAAAATATTAACCGAAACGAATAAATTTTGGTTAATTTAGTTAATTTTTGAATTAACCGAAATTTTTTAAAATTTTCTAAATTTTATAAAAATTGAATATTTTTTAATTAAAAAAAACAATTTACAATTAATTTAAATAATATATAATTATAAAATAAAATTTTATATGGATTTTTTTAATTAATTAATATTGATTTAGGTTTAAAAGTTATTAGATCCTAAATTATTAATTGAGTTTTAAATAGTTTGGGCTGACCTCATATGTTATATATAATATATTTAAAATTTAATTTCGGTTAATTCGGTTAATTAATCGATTTCGAACCGAATTAACCGTTAACCGAATTCTAAAAGAATTATTAATCGTTCCTCGACCAAACTAATTCAGTTCAGTCGGTTAATTCGGTTAAAACCAAAAAATGAACACCCCTGCTACCCGATCCCTATTTCTTTCTTGTTGGGCCTAGAAATATAGTCTAAAGCAATATTTGCCATATTTTGGCAAATGATTTATTTCATCCTAAACCTGGAAAATATAAGAGCTTGGCTTTGTGGTTGTGAGAGAGAGAGGTGAAGAAAAGAGTGAAGCTTTGAAAATGGAGAAGTACTTTGGAAACGCGTACAGAGGTGACCCAGGAGTCCCCCATGTGAGTGCAGACCTGTTCGTGAATATCTGGATAGGGTGTGCTGCTTTCTCTGTACTCGCCTGGTTCAACCCTTACATGTGGCAGCTCTCCAACCAATTCAAGTAATTTTGCTTCACCCTTTTGTAACACCTACGGACTGATGCGGGCGATTCGAGATATCACATTAGTACTACCAGAGCGACCCACCTTAAAAATCCCAAAAAATTAAAATTTATGTTAAAGCACATAAAATAATAAAACAATTTATATATTAAAAATATAATTTAACGATATCCAAAAATAAAACAGATTTCAAACTCAGATATAAAACAGAATACAACCTACATGCCCCCTAATCACATACATCATATTACGCAGTGGAACTCCTTTACTGATGTCGATAGCTGCACTGGTACGACTCTTTTAACCTGAAATGGTGAGTAAAAGAGTGATCTTTAGGAAGCTCAGTAATACAAAACTACAAAGTGAAGTTGAAGAACATGTAGATAAATGGAAAAACATAATTTTCCTTATTGATTCAGATGTCTACAGGTTTATCGAGTAAAAGCCATGAAGATTTCAGTTCATAGGAAACATTCAGAGTACCAATTTTTCAGGAGATCGGAAAAGGATGTCTAGTGTGTTCTAACCAAAACTAGTGAACATATATAGATCTATTTTAAAACAGTAACAGTTTAAAACATATTTTTAAAAACTATAGTAATACCCTCAAACCGAACACCGGTATACAGTTCCCTAAAACAACATCCATAAGGACTTACTCTAAGCACACAGCAAATGAGCCACCCTAAGAGAGTACCTTGGGGCCTGAGAGCCCAAGAAAGTTTCTCGAAGCCTCGGAGCCTACCCAAGGGTCACCTTAGGTCCGTAAGGAATTACCAGCTTGATCAATTTTAACCTATATAAGGAATTACCAGTTTGACCGAGCTGAACTTGCATACTCCAGCCTACCCATACATTACCTAATAGAAATCAGATTGAGCAGCAATTTTAATATCAAAATAATGATCTAGTAGTATATAGGCAAAATTATCATGTAGTTATTTAAATCACATAAATTTCCTCCACCTATACACCATACACAGTCCCATGATTTACCTAATGGAGTGCCTTGAGGCCTGAGAGCCTACTCAAGAAAGTTTCTCGGGGTCTTGGAGCCTATCCAAGGGTCACCTTAGGTCCTTAAGGAATTACCAGTTCGATCGGTCTAAACATATATAAGGAATTACCAGTTGACCAAGTTGAACTTCCATACTCCAGTATCATACCCAGATAATGTCCCAATAAAACAATTCAAGTAGTAACCAATAGATTCCATGATCCATAAATTCAGAATGATCATATTTTACAGTGAAAACATGTAATCAGAGAACATATTTCAGGTAATCATAGCTCATAAACTAGTAAATCAGTGATTACAGAAAATCAAATTTTAAAACAGGTAAAACATTTACATGTCACATAAGGAACACACTGGAAGATCCAGATATTATTCGGAGATACTTCATATTTATCAGGTAGGGAACCATGAAACTTTTGTAATTTAATAAAATTTCAGAATCAATATCCCTATAAAAAAAAGGGTTTGATAGCTCATTGATTCATCATTCATTCGGGAAATGATTTATCAAGATCATACAATATTCATATATTTTTCGTAGGCAATTGAGTAATCAAGAAGACATTCAGAATCTATTATAACATAATTATTGAAGGTTTAGACATAACATGAGTGTTCCCATTATTCAAGAAAATCAAGGGCATTTTAGACATTTGGTTCTTAGAGAATTATTAGTAATTTAATCCAATAAGGAAATAACGATGATTCATGGTATTTAAGATTCATGTCGATTGATCAGGATATCGAGTTAACTCAAACTGAACAACTCCCAGCACTGTGACACCTGTCAACCGATCAAATCGTTGCACTTTAAGGGTATTCGCACTTAAATACTGACAACTTGTGTCAAACTAATCATTTTTAGAATCTTCGTTGAATGGCTCTTAGAGAGATGAACATGTAATTCCAATGGTATTTATTTCATATATGCATTGTAACAATATCGAGAAATGTCAACGTGCTTGATTTCTGGTTCATAACCCTTAGGGATGGTACATCATGTAAGTTCATCAGCGTTTCCAGACTTATCCAAGTCACTCACTTAATCCAAGGTCATTAAGGGTACTTAGGTCATTTAGTAGTCAAGTCTATCATAGGCACTTCGGAGTTTCCAGAATAATTTGGTCATTTTTGCAAATTCTAATACATACAATACTTCCATTCAATTCAACTTGGTCAATATATACAGTTATTTTGGTATTCGAGGTTGATTTATTCATTTCAGAGCTGAAGGTATTTAGTTATTCCATTGCTTGGATGTACTTCGAATCATATTAAACTTCAGGGGCATTCCAAATAGATTAGAAATTTAATCGGTGATTCCAAGATTCAAGTGGATCAAAATATAAGTTCTCAGATCATCTCAAATATCATAGTCATCCATATTTCTTTTTACATTTTAAGTGTATTATCGTCATTCCATTCAATTTTGTCATTGACATTATTGTCGATAAATTAGGATTCGATGTATTCTAGCTCTTTTAGTGTTCAGAGTATTTTGAACATTTGAGGTTATTTCGTAGCTCGAGGACATTTCGGTAATTCCTTTCAATCCAAATAATATGCATTTTTTATGATAATTGGTCAAGTATGTCATTTCTAGGTTATTCTTCACCATCAAGGGAAGTCTTGGTATTTAACAGAATAAAGGCATTTTCATAATTTTACCTCATTGGGTTGTTTTTATTAATTTCATATCCAATTATTTCCGGTGTTCAACCTTTAAAGAAATTAATTAAAATTTATGAATCCTTAAGTCAATTCATTTATTAAATAATCACTGAACTTATAATTATTTCCGATTGATCTTCCAGTTTCTTATGCGAGCCATCTGAATCTTATACAGTTTACTGTATTTTTACCAAAATTATATTCGAGTCCAAAAATAATTAATTTTACCCAAAGGACCAATAATTTCATTGATGTAGTTACCAATTATCAACAAGTTCCGGAAAGCATACAAAATGAAGTAAAGTATTCCTCGATTTTCATGCTCCATTGATCGAACATTTAAACTCCATTCGATCACTATCAAACTTAAATTCAACGTCCAATAATTCTTTGGTTACATAGCAACTGAATTTACATCATAAAATGAACTTAATCGGAAAACCAATTTGATTCCGAAGATAAATAAATGAAAAACGGCTTACCAGGTGCGAATTTGGCAAAACGGACTTCGGATTCGAACTCAGAACGTCAAAAAACATAAAATATGATTTTTTTTTAAATTTTATCTTTCTGTTCAAAGTCAACGGGTTTACTCGGATGAGTTGGCTCATACGGGTTGACTCGGATGAGTTGGCTCATACGGGTTATCTCGAACGAGTTGACTCAAACGGGTTGACTCAGATTGAGTTGACTCAAACGAGTTGACTCGAACGAGTTGACTCAGATCGAGTTGACTCGATCGAGTCAAACAGACCCGGTTCGGGACGGTTCGGGCTGACTGGACCGGTTCCAGAAGTTTCATGGATCGACAGAGTATCCCCACCCGTATTGTCGGAGCGTTGCGACACGTACGACGACGACGGAGGAAATTTCGGGCGGCCGATTACTCCAAACGAAAACCAACACAATAATCAGTCCAAAAACACTGCAAATACTAGCTAAAACATGAATAAATATCATAACAAAGTGCTTATCACGGTGGATATACAACGCACGACGATAGAGCAACGATGAGGGAACACAGTTGCATGGGTTTTGATCGAAACTTCTCAAGGAGTACCATGGAAGTGGCGGTGCAATGAATTAACACCAGGATCGGTTGAAAATAAAGAAATTCAACGGTGGTCAGTGAGTTTGCAATGATCAATCGATGGTAAAATCTACGACGTTTGGCAACGTTCCATGGTAAAAGACCAAGAGGTTTTGGTCGCGTGATACCGACGATCACGGTGGTGTCGATGATCACATAGGTACCGATGGTGTAGATCACAGTGACCGGGAGACGACGAAATCAGCAGCAATGAGTGACGAGGGAGGTTAATAATTTTGGGAAATTTTTCAATCCGATCGGGGGGAGAAAGATTTATTTTTCTCATTTAACACAAAATGGGAAATTTCGGGCTTAAGTCTCTGAACTTCCCAGAGTTTCAACCCGAGCTGCAAGTTTCTAAAACTTGCAATTTACTCCCTTAAATTTACTTAAATCAATAAAATTTAGCCTATAACTTAGGTGTGACAATTCTCCACTCCTTAAAAGAAATTATGTCATCGAAATTTATCCAAGTGATAGAAATGTAGAAACTAAGCTTCCATCCAATCTTCATTCTCTCGGGTTTCATTTACATGTATATGATTCCTCTATTAGACCTTAATCGGTTGAATAAGAGTCCTAGGCAAAACTTTTCCATATAAAAATTCCAGAATTTGAACATAATTCTCCTCATATTATCAAACTTACCTTAATTAACAATCCTTAACCAGAATAACACTTGCTTACTTTCAATGCAACATGCAGACATAAATATTTTCTTTTATACGAGTAGCATCACCTCGAGACTTGCTCTTTTCCCAAGTATTCTAATATTTACTTTAATCTCATACATGTCAAATCATTGAGGTACAAAGCTCATCACTTATTGAGATTCAAACTCATAAAATTGGAGCAAGAATAATTTCCAAAAATTCTTCAATTCGGTACATCAATGCCTAAATTTAGGGGGAATGAGACATTGTTAATTCTTGGACCAACTACCTTGCTCTTCAATCAACTTAAGTAGTAATTCTTAATATCGAAAACTTCAATTATAAGGTTTGACTATAAGCCTACCATCACAGAACGTATGGGGAGTAACAAAACTCAAATTCACGTTAAAAATCATGTCAAAATTTTCGACCGAATAAACTCCCTCGATACTTGCAGGGATATTTCAAAAATTGGGACAATTGCTAACATTATTCCCTTGTTGCATAGATTATGTCATAACATATAAGATACCTTGGTATACTTATTATAGAATGATTTCTTAACATCAGAGTTTCGGCTCGGATAGTATGGACATAATCTAGGGGCATACATATACTAGACATACTATGACAGTCGATCGGTCGATCTACCCAGAAGACTTGACTTAACCTAAGCTCTAATACTACTAAATGTAACACCGACGGACCGATGCGGATGACCCGATTTGAACTAAAATGTCACATTAGGGCCACCAGAGCGACCCACCGTAAAAATCACAGAAAATTAAAATTTTTGTTAAAGTGCGTAATACAATAAAATAATTTATATATTAAAAACAGAATTTAACAATATCAAAAAATAAAACAGATTTCAGACCCAAAAAATCAGGAAGACATTTAGAATCTATTATAATATAATTATTGAAGATTTAGACATAACATGAGTGTTCCTATTATTCAAGAAAATTAGGGGCATTTCAGACATTTGGTCTTTAGAGAATTATTAGTAATTTAATCCAATAAGGGAATAACGAAGATTCATGGTATTTAAGATTCATGAATATTGATCAGGATACCGAGTTAACTTGAACTGAACAACTCTCAAAACTGTGATACATGTCAACCGGTCAAATCTTTACACTTCAAGGGTATTCGCACTTTAATACTAACAACTTGTGTTGAACTGGTCATCTTCATAATCTTCGTTGAATGGTTCTTAGAGAGACAAACATGTAATTTCAATTGTATTTATTTCACATATGCATTGCAACAATATCGAGAAATATCGGTGTGTTTGATTCATGGTTCATAACCCTTAGGGACAGTACGTCATGTAAGTTCATCAGCGTTTCTAGACTTATCCAAGTCACTCACTTTATCCTAGGTCATTAAGGGTACTTAGGTCATTTATTAGTCAAGTTTATCCCATCACTTCATAGGAATTCGGTCATTTTCGCAAATTCTAATACACACAATACTTTCATTCAATTCAACTTGGTCAATATATATAGTCATTTTGGTATTCGAGGTTGATTTATTCATTTCAGAGCTGAAGGTATTTAGTTATTCCAGAGCTTGGACGTACTTCGAATCATTACACTTTAGGGGCATTCCAAATATATTAGGAATTTAATCAATGATTCTAATATTCAAGTGGATCAAAATATAAGTTCTCGGGTCATCTCCTTTAGAGTTCATGGTATTTTTGTCATTTGAACATTTGAGGTCATTTGGTAGCTCGATGACATTTCGGTAATTCCTTTCAATCCAAACAATATGCACTTTTTATGATAATTGGTTAAGTATGTCCTTTCTAGGTTATTCTTCATCATCAGGGGAAGTTTTGGTATTTTACAGAACAATGGCATTTTCTTAATTTTACCTTATTGAGTTATTTTTGGTAACTTCATATCCAATTATTTCTGGTATTCAACCTTTAAAGAAATTAATCAAAATTTACGAATACTGAAGTCAATTCATTTATTAAATAATCATTGCACTTATACTTATTTATGATCGATCTTCAGTTTCTTATGCGAGCCATCTGAATCTTATACATTTTACTGTCTTTTTACCGAAATTTTGTTCGAGCCCAAAAAATAATTAATTTTACCCAAAGGACCAATCATTTCATTGATGCAGTTACCAATTATCAATAAGTTCCGGAAAGCATACAAAATGTAGTAAAGTATTACCTCAGTTTTCGTGCTCCACCGATAGAATGTTTAAACTCCATTCGATCACTCTCAAACTTAAATTCAACGTCCAGTAATTCCTCGGATACATAGCAACCGAATTTATATCATAAACTAAACTTAATCGAAAAACCAAATTTGATTCCGAATATAAATCACTGAAAAATGGCTTACCAGGTGCGAATTTGGAAAAACAAACTTCGGATTCGGACTAAGGACGTCAAAAAACATAAAATATATTTTTTTTAAATTTTGACTTTTCGGTCAAAGTCAACGGGTTGATTCAGATGGGTTGACTCGAACGAATTGACTCAGAGATGTTGACTTAGACCGAGTTGTCTTGGTCGGGTCAAACAGACCCGGTTCGGGCTGACTGGACCAGTTCAAAAGCTTCCTGGACAAGCAGAGTATCCCCACGCGCACTGTCGACACGTGGCGGCGCGTTCGACGGCGACGGAGGCAATTAAGAGCGGTCGATTACTCCAAACGAAAACCAACACAATAATCAGTCCAAAAACACTCCAAATACTAGCCAAAACACGAAGAAAATGAACTAAATATCATAACAAAGTGCTTACCACGGCGGATGTACAATACACGGCGATGGAGCGACGATGAGGGGACACGGTTGCATGGGTTTTGATCGAAACTTCTCAAGGAGTACCATGGTAGTGGCAGTGCAATGAATTAACGTCGGGATCGGTTGAAAATAAAGAAATTCAACGGTAGCCAGTGAGTTTGCAATGAGCAATCGATGGCCAAATCTATGACGTTTGGCAGTGTTCCATGGTAAAAGACCAAGGGGGTTTTGGTCCCGTGGTGTCGACGATCATGGAGGTACCGACGGTGTAGATCACGGTGATCGGGAGACGACGAAATTAGCAGCAATGAGTGACGGGGAAGGTTAATAGTTTTGGGAAATTTTTCAATCTGCTCGGGGGAGAAATATTTATTTTTCTCACTTAAAACAAAATGGGAACTTTCGGGATTAAGTCCCTGAACTTCCCAAAGTTTCAACCCGAGCTGCAAGTTTTTAAAATTTGTAATTTAGTCCCTTAAATTTACTTAAATCAATAAAATTTAGCCCCTAACCTGGGGTGTAACACCTTTTCTCTCGTAAACTCTTTTGTTTCGTATTTTTTTGCTAGTTTTTCTTATTGCTTTATCTTCGTTTGAAATTACATCTGCAAGCTTTGATTTTTGTGTTTGATGGAATCTTGCTTTTTATTTATGTGAATTAGGTTTCCCTTTGAAGTTAATGAAATATAGTTCAAATTCATTTGCTTTAGCAGTTTGGGATTTCTTTTCCCTTTTCGTTTAATTTCTATTTTCTAAGTTATCTTGACTGTTCAAGACTTATATAATTCATTGTTTTCATTCATCATATGTTGTTTAATTGGGATCGTTATGGTGCAGTGGAGCTGGATTGTTGTATTTCTTTCCTTTTGAATTTTGATAACTCAATTTCCCAGTTTTTGAGCAGGTTGCAAAATGAACAGCTTCTAGTTGTGGAAGACCTCTATAGCTTTGTTGGCAGCTTCATTTTAGCAAGTTGTCTTTGTGCAAATTGCTATTTCTTCTGGAATTTATAGCCATTTTCTGACCAAATGGAGATAGACGAGTTTCGTTTATCAAGGGTCTTTTCCGAAAGTTAATTCCCGAATGCCGGACACATTTAATTTGTTCATTATGTAGCTTTACCAGGGTACAGATCCATTTCATCAAGCATCCTTATATGGATGCAAATGATTCGGTTTTTGTTAAGTAGCTTTCTTATATTGTTGTTAGCCTTAGCCAACATGGATATTTGATGTTTAATCTAACTAAAGAAACCTGTTGGTCTCTCCATTATTGTATTTATATAGGGCATTCCATACGTGTTCTGCTATTCATTTTACTCATAGGTTCCGGGATCGCAAGTCCAGGGTTTTCACTTATATATATTAGCTGACCCTTATTCCCATATGTAATGGGATAAGAGGGAGGTAGGATAGTAAGCTGCCCCCAACGCTAGGTTGAGAGCATCTTCCGTGAAAAACCCCAATTTGTAGTTGGCATGACAGAGCAATGATACTCAAACACTACCATTGGAAGAAAGCAAAGGCAAAGAATCAACCATTTAAGTTTAAGGTTTGTTATCTGCTATCATCTATGGACAAACTTTCTTAAATCTTATCATGCAAAGATGCCCTTATTCTTTGATTTCGTATGTCTTTTCAGTGGAATGAGATGGACAAGGATTTCAGGGACTCGTACTACTACGATTGGCCTGTCTACTTTCCTTAGTTCTTTCTTGTGTAGGTATGCTCTTTGACAAGTAGTTTGCACAAATTTTACTTCACCTACTCAAAAGTTTGCCCATCTTTACTTCCCAACGCATTATGCTGATTCAGTTCTCCCTTTCTTATTTTGATGGATGTTAAATCTTTCGAGTTTGGTCAATCTTTATCGTGGTTCTTAAGATGATGTTGAGTGAAATTTAGTACTTGTATCAATGTTCTATTTCCTTTACTTGAATTGTTAAATTTAATTCAACTAAATAATTTAATGTTAAGTTGAATTGAGAGGGTCAATTTGAGCCCCTACGAAAATTATTTGACTGAGATTTTAAATTTATTTGAGATATTATATGAATCAAATGATATAAACGGTTGGTAAATGAGTAATCAAAAACTGATAGTTGTAAGAGGATAAGGTGAAATTATGGGATCTGATATTATATGAATTTGACCAATTTCGCCTTCATAAATATTTTTCATTCAATTTAATCCTCAGTTTAAAGTATGACCAATCAAACCCTTCGGTAACATTGACTGAATTATTAGAGGAAAAGAGGAGAGGTCTTGTTTGGTTTGGAAGAATAAGATTAGAGAGATGAACTGAATGATTAGAAACATAAAACATTCTTAAATTAAAATAACATTGATCAAGATATCAACTCAAGACATAATATTAATTACTTTTAACCCAGAGGAAGTTATATGGTGTGAAAATAATAACAATATTGTAAAGATAAAAGATTCAAAATTACTATTTGAGGACAATATTTTAGATTTTAGATTTTGTAACATGTGGTATAGTTTATAATCTTAGGATATTGAGTGAGAAAGGAGAAGAAGTGAGAACCCTGAAGCTATGGAGGGAAGATGCTGATGATGTAGTAGCAGAAATTAAAGCTGCTCATTTTGGGGAATCTATGAAGTTTCCACTTAAGAGTGTGAGTGATGCCGATATCCGGAAGTGCCACTCAAACACAACAGCATTTGAGGGGCTTCGGAAGTGAATTTAGGTTCGTTTATACATTTAATTTTTAATTTTTACTCTTTCATTTGCAAGCGAAATCGGTAGTAAAGGAATTGTTGTTATTCTTTGATGTCCCAGTTCGAGCATCAGAAATACTGGAGGTGTGACCGTAAACGAACTTCTTCTTGAATATAAACGAATGAGTCAATAAATAAACTTATAAACGGGTTTGTTTGTGAACATATACAAACGAAGAGCATCTTTGTTCGATTATTTTATTTTATAATACAGATCATGAACAAAGATCTAGCGGGGCTCTAGAACCTCTTTTTGTAGAAGCAAAGAGACATCCTCCGGTTGTTCCGAGAACATTATAGTCCCAGTAGAAGAACCTCTCCCCCTTGCCGCCAACCTATCCGCAATACTATTCTACTCGCTTCGAATACGAGAGACTCTCACAGCAACGTCACTATTGTCAGTCTCAAGCTCTACTAATCTGAAACCCAAAACCTCCAAGCATGTAAAAGAGCACCGACTCAGACTCCGAGAAAAACCAAACAACCATTTTCCTTCATGATTTCGAAGAAGACCCCTCGCAGCAGCTCTATTATCAATCGTGTGGACCGCTCCATCAGCGTTGGTTTTGATCCAGCCAATAGGAGGTCGAATCCACTTCAAAGGAGACGAAACACGCCGCAAGGAAGCAATTGTTGCCTGTTCATTCGCCCTAACAATCTCATCAACAAGTCGATCACAACAAGCAAGAAAGCTCTCTTTTTCAACATAATCAGAATTAAATATTACCTTACACCTATGTTTCCAAAGGTGCCAGCAAACAACAGTAAACTTTATAGGCCATTGTTCCACATTAGAAGCAACCATACCTGGTGCTTGGAGATTAATCCTGATCCAATCATGGCAACGATGAACAAGAAGTTAGCAAGCTTGTCAGCTCGGATTATCATCGGCCAAATACCAGCCGCCTGCTAGCAGCGGCGAAGGATATGATCAATGTCTTCAGCTTCTTTACCACAAACCGAGCAACTTACGTCACTAGAAAGATGACGCCAAAATCGTTCAACATTTGTGAGCAGTCGATCATGGATAACGAGCCAAAGAAAGATTTTGATACGGTGAAGAACAACAAGCTTCCATATAAAATTCCATTTGAACATATTAGGCTCCTCCAGCGAAGCAGAAAGTGCTTTACAAGCAGACTTGGAGGTGAACCTTTTATCCGCTTCCCATTGCCATCTATGGAAATCCGGACATAAATGATCATGAGCTGGTACAATAGTCATGATTTTTTGAATTATATGATCAAGAAGAAAGGATGAAAATGACTCCCAATCCCATGATCCGAAAGGAAGAAACATATCACAAACTGGGGTCAGAGCAGGTGAGTTGAGACCCTTGTAGGAGAAAACCAAACTTTCATCATTCTTCAATCAGTGGTCGTACCAAGTCTGTGTTTTTGCCATCCTGGATATTCCACACGATGTTCTCTTTAAAATCTCTCCAAATAATTTGAGTCCATTCCATAATCTAGAACCATTTGCACTTTCAAGAGTAAAAGGGATCAGATCCTTACATTTATACTTCACACGAACTATCTGCATCCATAAGTCACTAGGCTTTGAGACTAATTGAAAAGCGATCTTCATTAAAAAGGCCTTATTTTGGTGAATCAGGTTTTTCAAACCCATACCGCCCTCGACCACTGGCTTTGTCATCTTGTCTCACTTGACAGGAGATAGTGAATTACTGTTATTATGCGACCCCCAGATAAAGCGTAGAATTATTTTTTCCATCTCATCACGAAGTCCTTTAGGAAGCCAGGATGATTGCATAACATAACCTGAGATGGCTCGAAGAATAGACCTCGCAAGAGTGATACGACCCCGCCAAGGATAAGGTTCTCACCACCTAGCCTGAGAGCCTTTGATTCAGTCTATCAATCAAATACGCATAGGTTGATTTGGTGACTCTATTGTGTAACAGGGAAACTCCAAGGAATTTCCCTAAATCCTTCACCTTCTGAAAACCAAACCGTCGAGCAATAGAATTCCACATAGTAGGAGTACAATTTTTGGAGAAGTAAATTTACATTTTTGCCGCACTAACACGGTCACCTGATTCATAACAAAAACCATCAAGAACCTCTTTAATTAAAGTGCATTGAGAAGGATCAGCCTCCGCAAACAAGGTAAGGTCATTTGCAAATAGTAAGTGCGAAAGACCCATCCATTTCTTGAGAGGTGGATTGGTTTCTAAGACCCATTAGTAACGTTGATCTCAATCATCTGGAATAATCACTCCATACATAGGACAAAGAGGTAGGGAGAAAGGGGATCCCCTTGACGAATCCCTCTTGTTGGTTTAAAAGATGCAGTGAGGTCCTCATTCCAAGAGATTTTTATGGGAATTGATCTAACACAAGTCATAATTCGATCAACGAAAGTGTTCGGAAAACCAAGAGCATGAAGAGTTTCCTCAATATAGTCCCATTTCAATTGGTCGCAAGTTTTTTCAAGATCGACCTTGATGGTCATCCAACCTTTCCGCCCTGATTTCTGTCATTGAATGGATAGCCTCTTACGCCAAGATGATATTGTTCGTTATTTGTCGACCTAGACCAAAGCTAAATTGGTTCCGAGTCACCCACTTCAGCAAATAAAGCTTCAAACGGCACACAAGTACTTTGATAATGATCTTATACCCAACATTGCATAAGCTTATCGGATGAAATTGGCTTATAGAAACAGGATTAGGCAGCTTACGGATCAAAATAAGCACGGTTTCATTCACCCAATCTTCAAGAATGCCTTCATTAAAAAAACGCTTCGCAAACTTAACAACCGATTGACCTAAAATGTCCTAATTTTTTGAAAGAAAGTCGCGTGAAGCCCATCTGCACCCGGGAACTTTAAAGGAGCCATATTAAACACCACGCTTCAGATCTCATCAGCCAAAAGTTCTTTCAATAAAACTCGGAGTTCCTTAAAACCAAAATGATAAAAGTTACAAGCCACAACTAGTAGCACTGCTAGAAAAGATCGCTCACTAGTGAAAAGCATATGGTAGAAGCTCGCGGTATGGTTCCTCAAAGTCTCCTGATCGCAACACCAAGCATCATCCTGGAGATGAAGCATGCTAATCGTATTGTGCTTCTGACGAATCACCGTAGAAGTATGAAAATAAGAAGTATTTAAATCACCTTTGGAGATCCAATTGTTATGTGCCTTTTGATGCCAAATACTCCTTTTGTGCAAAGACCAAATTGAGTTCCCGCTTAAGCTTAACTTTCAAATCCAACAGGTACCCATTTTCCGAACCCTCAACTGCTTTTTCAATATTATTTAATCTAGGTCATCAGAATAGACTTCCTTTTACCGGTATGACCAAAGGTGTTGCGATTCTATATCCACCCTTTTCCAAAAATCGGCGAGGAATATTTGAAACTCCGGATGCTTGCTCCAAGCATCAAGATAGCAAAAAGGTTGTGTTTTCTCAGCCGTTCCTTCAACTCCTAAATCTAGTAAGATCAGACGATGATCAGAACCCACCCTCTGAAGATGATAAATCTCCGAACTAGAAAAAGAGTTAGACCAATGTGCATTGCTATCCAAACGCTGAGAGAGAGTCCCACGTCTCCAAGTGAATTTAGCCCCACTGAAACCCATATCAATCAGGCTTGAGTCAAACATGAAATTGCAGAATTTCTAGCATACCTCATCACGGTGTTGAGAACCACATTGGCGCTCAGAGGGGCTACCGATCACATTAAAATCCCCTCCAAGGACCCACGGCCAATTGGGGTCGAGATCCAAAGCTTTTAGATGATTCTAGAGTCGACTCCGAATCCCACCGTCTGGACTTTCATAGACAAAAGTAACAAAGAAACCACATCCCTCAGATACATTAGAACACCAGCCGTGTATGTATTGATGAGAAACTGCAAGAATGTTAAATTGAATAGGGCTCTTCCAAAGAATCTAGATGACTCCAAAAAAATCCAAGAGCTTCCACCTGATAGGAAGAATCAGATCCCGAAATTCAGATGAAATTATCTGCAGCTTTTCCACTAATTCTTGGCTCCATAAGCGCCATAATATCCAGCTTCT